AAGTCTGAACCAACATTTTCGCTTTAATCGCTTAGGCTACTCCAGGTAAACCTCACCGTTCTTTGCTAGGTCGGGGGGGGCCTAGTGCGCCTTTCGGTCCTAAATACATACAGTGAATTCGAGCAGGGATGTAAAAAGAGCGACTTGAGATCGTCGCAGTGGTGTATCTTCAACCATTTGGCCATCTCCCATTAGGTGGAGACCATGAAAGGATATGTATGGTACAGTTCCCTACACACCATGAGATTAATGCAAGCAGAGATTATAGTAACATTGTAACCCACAGTACCGTGTGGATTCATGTCTGCTTCTCCATCATCATTGAGACACTTTGCATGGTCAAAGTCTATGAAATAGCCGTTTCCTTCATAAATGATAACATTGTTGGGGCTGAGGTCTCCATGGACTCATTAGCCCACCATTGCCTTGTGGGCTACAATTCATGATGATTACTATGGACTTCGGGTGATTGTAAAAGGAACTCCACAGTGACAAGGTCACGAAAAACCCCGATTAGCTCAGGTACTACTTACAATATGAGGTGGTGTTTGTGGAGGAGTCAGATTAAGTTTTGGGATGAAGTTCTGAAAGCCGTCATGAGCAAACTGGCAACCAACTGGATCAAGATACTAGTGAGTAGCAGCATCACTATTGTGTTCCCGGAGGAATGTGAACAGAGAGACTGCATCATTTTGACCGATTGCAATAGAATGATGATCATTGGATGTCAATGGAGCAGGAGAATCGGCCGGTGATGGGATATTTGAGGAGACACCTGCTGCTTCTGCAACTCACCGTAGTACGCGCCTCCATTTGTGCTTCACAAGCTGTGCCGGAGTGTCCACCTTGCTGGTGAGTGGATAAAATGCCTTCAAGGCCCTGTGTGCCAGCTCCCCCTAGCTGATGACATTTCTTCAGAATTATCCTTGACAGAAGAGACAATGCTTACGATCTGAGTGGTAAAAGAATCTGTTGTACCAAAGAGCTTGATGGTCTCATAATCTCCCATGGTGGTCTGCCTCGTTCCGAAGAGGCACCACGCTGCACAAACCTTCACTGGCGAGCAGCCTTCTCCATTGGTAATTCCATTGTGTCAAAAGCAGGGCAGGTAAAGTTGCAGAACTTCTGCAACTGCTTAGAGAGTGTTGTGAATGTTTCCTGGAGGAAACCCAGGGTCGACTCTGAGTGAATCCTTAACTTGGTGAGTGCATGCCACTGAGCAAACCTGTATAAAAGGGGACTGTACGATCTTATCATGACTAGCAGGAAACAGCCCTTCGAACACAGGTATTGCACGAACCTATTCAGTCACATACCCTGTATTAAACAGGCAGCCGAGGTTGAAATATCCCTGTTCCACACAGGCCAGTGGGTGTCGGCCGATCGAAAATGTGCACCCGTGTCTAACGGGTTGGCCGGTAGGCTCAATAAGAGTTGATATTTACAGCTGGGGCCCATAGATAGTGATAGTCGATGTAAACATGTTGTCCGATGGCCAGGGGAAAATGGGGTGTTGTGTGTGATGTTATCAGCTGGGTCCATGTTGAATATAGTGGCTGAGTGTGCAGGTCGGCCAATGATGGGTGTGCAGCTATTGTCTGGGTGTACCAATGAAAATAAATGTCTGATGCTATTCAGGTGGGCCGATGGATATGAATTCCTGATGAAGTCGGGTCGGCTAATGGATTTCACTCATGAAGAGTGAGTTAGGCCTGCAAGACAAACCAGGTGAACTGAACTGGATGAGAAGGTTCAGGTATGGGATATGACATCAACACATCAGAAATTCAGAAGATCCCTTACATCAAACAGGTACCAGGAAGCCGCACTCAGATACATGGGGCCCCATTTTTCATAAGGAATGGAGGCTTCAGGATGCATTTCAGAGGAGACACAAGGCGCAACACTACTATGCATTCCTTTGTATAATGTATATATTGACTTGATAATACAGGTGTGACTGGGTGCCTTGATCAAAAGGCAAAGGCACTGATCACAACTCCGGCCATTAGCTTTTCTTTAGCTTTTTCAACTGCCTTCGTCATTGAACATGGACAGGAACAGATCGGACAGTGTGTGACTGACTTCATTTCTTCTGTTTTGTTTTGATGTGGCTCACTACCCTCATTGTAATGATGCCCTCTATTATCAAAATGGATTGAGTGAACTGATCAATAAAAGATAGTAGTTCTATACACGTCTGGTCGAGGCAGCAGCCCATCACCATTAATCCTACCGACACTCATGATCCTATTGTTCAAGTATTAGCAGGAGAAGAAATCGATCTTGATACATTCAACCATACAGCGGGTCCTGATTCTGCTCAACGAGCTCAGATTGTTGCTGACAATCCATTCACCACTGCCAAATTTTTTCATTTTGTGATTCATGCCATTTTGGAAGAGTTGTTTGGCATCAAGATCAATACACATGCTGGAGGACACCAAATTATATGGCGTGATGGTATCTTTGGAGTGGTCGATGGTTATATCAGTGCGGTTGAGGCTCAAGGCCAAGGAACATTGCATTTGCACATCCTTTTGTGGTTGCGCAGTGCACTTTCTGCAAAAGAGATGAAAGAGCGTCTACAGTCCGTCAAATTTTGTTCTCACATTGCTGCATACATCACATCAAACATCAAGGCTCACCATGAAGATGTTACTGAGGACTCCCTTGCATCATTTCGACGTGAAAAGGCCGTCTCATATTCACATCCATTAGATCCTTGGCATCCATCTTTTCAGAGACAACATAATAATGTTGAAGGTCGTCTTGTTCGCGCAGTATCCATTAGCTCCCGAAGCCTGGATAGATTCCAATGGTGATTGGGGCCCGCACCGAACATATTGTTTCCTGAATAATTGGAATCCTACTCTTCTTCTGACAACACACTCTAATCACGATATGAAGCTCATTACGAATGGCGCGGGGACCAAACACATTGCTTGGTATATATCTTATGTGGCCAAACATCAGCAGCATTCTTCCAATGCATCTGCGCTGCTTGCCAAGACTCTTGCATACCATCGTCACAATGAAGCCTACAATAGTGATATCCAAGTTTTGAACAAGCGATTGTTACAACGGTGTCCAAATGCACTGAGTCGTGAACAAGAATTTACACACCGGAAGTTGTGTCTTACCTTATGGGTTGGGGAGATAGGTATATTTCCCATCATTTCCAGACTATATATTGGAGTTCCGTGACGAGTCTATTGAAGCATTCATTTCCTTTTTTAAGAGGCCCACAGTATGTGAATTTATATGTTTGAGAATATGAATTGATCATGATATTTGATAGGAAAGCTGGTTGTTCTGCTGATGGTCTGGTTGTTGAAGATAATTCTGCGACCTCTCATGTATGTCATGCTTTCTACTTTATGTTTTTGAATAGAAACAAATGTCACCTATAGAATGAATATGTCACTGTCGAAATGCATAATGGCTCTCTTCGCATTCAGGATCAAATATGAGAATATGTTGATTGTGGAGGAGTCCTGGAGCAGCTTAGCTATCTCGAATTCTTCCTAAACACATACAATGTTCGATCGGACATTGATGTTTCTGTGCTGCAAAACAAGGCACCACAGTTCACATTCCTTATGCTGAAGGTTCAGGTCATTCTGGGCATATTTGGGTTCTACGTGCCAAAGGACATGAAACAATGCCGGATTCTCGCACAGATCGACAATCACTTCTTCAACCCCCAAGTTTTTTGAATGAAGAACAGTCCATAGCATATACCATCATTGCAGAACATATCCATCAACATCTTCTGGGCAATAACCCTTCGCAGCTTCTTATGGTTGTTCACCGTCAGGCAGGAACTGGCAAAACTTGTCTACTCCAAGCTATAATGGATATGTTCGAACAGCTTCAAATTTCGGATCAGTTTGCCAAAACAGTGTTATCCGGAGTAGCTGCTTGTCAAATTGGGGGTAAAACATTGCATTTGTGGGGGACTCTTCCAGCTGGAAAAAGGATGCCCCGTACCGACAGCTGGATTAATCGGCCAAGTGCGGAGACATCACAGCGCTGCTATTTCCACATGCATGCCAAACTTCTATTAGCAACAGACAAGATGAGCCTGTTGACAACTGACACACCACACATGTTGTCTCAAGTGTTGATCACATTTCGTGCGGCTGATGGAATACCTGCAAGCATATTGGATTTACTATTTGCGGGACTTGACGTAATGATCCTAGGCGACTTTCACCAATTTCCTCCAGTGGCGAGTCAAAATCGAGTGTTATATTCCCAACGTCCATCAACTACAAATTGCAAGCTCGGAAGAAACATCTATATGCAGTTCAACATAGTGATTAAATTGCATAGGCAGATTCACATTACTGATTCTACATGGACCGAAATTTTAGATCGGGCGAGGATTGGGGGATGTACAGTCGATGACCTGAGAGAAATCCACCAATTGGTATTGACTTCCAACGATTGTCATATTCCGGATTTCACCATTTCTCCTTGGTGAGACGTGGTAACTCATCACACCACATAATAGTGTTCAAACTCGGTGGAATAATCGCGCGACAGAAAAACATTGGAGATTGTCGAATGAAATGATGTATATCTGTCCAGCCGAGGATTCAGCACGAGGGTCGTCTTTGGATCCAAAAATGTGCTTCAATCTTGCTCGTATGGCCCTTTAAGATACAGAACACTTGCCTATGATGATTCACTTGGTCAAAGGGATGAAGGTGATGGTGATGCGCAATATAGCCACTGCTGCTAATTTGTCAAACGGATCCCGGAGTGTTTTTACACTATCCTCCTGCCATTGTCATTCTCTACCTTGATTTCTGCAACTTACCTCTGTTACCAGGTCTTTCTCCTTGTCAAGTTCCATTAACTCCCGTCCACTACAAATTTTCTATTGGATCTTTGCCAGTGACCAGGGTCACACACCGTCAATTACCATTGGCACCCGCTTACACTTTCACTGATTTTAAATCACAAGGGCAAACAATTGAACACGTCTTGGTCGACATCGGGAGAACAACGTGCTTTGCATTGTCTCCATTTAATGCTTATGTTGCGTTGTCTAGAAGTTGTGGACGAGATTCTATAAGGTTGTTACGAGATTTTGACAACAATCTATTTCTTCAACATCCTTTGGAGGACTTACTTATTGAAGATAGTCGTATCGATCAGCAAGTCAAAGAAACCAAAGCACATTTTGAAAAATCTCACCCGTAAGCATTTATGTGACATTGCCTGCCAGTTCCATCATTAAGCCTTCGTCTTGTTAGTAGGACAGTCTGTTTTCTGATATAGTCCATACCAAGAATGTTCTATTTCCTGCATGTGGGGAGAGGTAAAAGTGGTTTCTTGTTTTGTCATAGGGGTGACTTCTACAATAAACATCGTTACAAATCGTCACCTCCTAATAATGAACCATGTACATCACAATTGCGAGCCATTACCAGGAATGTTTCTTATAGGTTGGTACCATGAAGCCTACATTCAAGTTAACCTTTAGTCAACTGATTGATTCAGCATTCGCTCAGCAATGAGGCACTTTACATATCCGCGCTTTCCGAAATTGTTGCTGTTTGATGACTCGATTTGGTCCTGCTACGGACATTTCAAACACGATTGAACTATTTCATTATCAGTGAGACATACGAGGTAAGCAACAATGTTCAATCAAATAATTGGATCACTTAATAGATTGACATAGCTTTCATTGAGTTTCTAGTATGAGTTCGTGGTGTTTATACGATGTTCGTCGAGAATGCCGATGTCGCAGAACAAATATCAGCTATGTTCGAGACATAATTTGTCAGTTTTAATACATGTAAATGGTCTGCGAGTACCGTGTATTGTTGTACTGCGCATTTGATGATGATGTAGCTTACAGTGCTATAAGTATAAATCGTGAATTCATCTGTCAGTGTTGAGGAGTTGTCGACGTCATTGGAGTCAGAACATTCTGCGAGAATGAAATATTCCGGATCTCAGGATGATATGTTTGTGGAAGATACTGTCTCCTTCCTAATTAATCACAATTTGTTGTTATTTTGAATCTGCGGAAAACACAACATTGATGTAACCTTGCTCCGCAAGGTAACTAGTTGACAAAATGTTTGCAGATGGTGCCGAGATCGTTCTGTAAATTAGATGGTGGCAACCCATCAAGAAGTAAGGTCTCTTCAAGATGTCTCCATACAACTCTACCAAGGGTACCACTGAGCAGGTTGCAGCTATGCTGGCCCAGCTGGCTTGCAGCTGCAAAGGCTCTTTCTTTGAGGTCCGAGGTGAGTAATGATTTTGTTGGCCAATGTTTTTTTGTCTGATGCACATAGGTATCTGAGGGAACTGTCGGACCTCAGGACATTGGAGTTCCCTGTAGGCCCTGCCTCAATAAGAAGTGGGTTTGCATTTATTCATCCGCTGTGAACAAGGCACGGGTGAATGGACTTTTTCTTGTCTGGATATGTGAGTTACTGGGTGGAAAATCTCCGGTCTGGATGGACACTGGCAAGGCCATCTACTATTAGCACAGTAGAGGATGAGTGTAAGCTCCCAATAAAGCACTTGCAAGAGCAACTCCTGGACATGGAACACGACATCGATGACAAACTTCAGCTTCACTCTGCTGAGGATTGGTGCAAAGTACAAAATACCTCGACATTATCAATAAGCTAGAAGGCAAATTATGGTGCCAGCAAGATTTAACCAACAGTCAAGCCAAAGATATTGAGCGTCTGGAGGCAGGCAGATGCAAAGGACAGGGATTCTTATATTGAGGACTGTGAGGAATTGGTGGATCAGGTCTGGTTGGAGAAGCACCTCTTCATTGAGGAAATCAAAAGGGGAGCTGAGATGTTGGAGAATGGAGAGTTGGGCTTTTTCTCATAGCGACCAAATCACATATACAACTTCTGAATAGCTATCATTTTTTCTATTGACAAGATATAAGTCATGGTATGCAACACGTGGTGCCAAACACAACTTATTTAAATCACCTGCATGCACAATTGTCATGCACACAATGATTGTTTTTGACAATCACAATTTGCTCCTTATCATATTTTAGTTGTGCAGTATTGTAGTACAGGAAATCACTGCAAACCTGTTGATTCTCGACCAATACTGTTGTGTTCTATAAGTTGCGTAAATGTGTGAACCACATCCCAGAGTCGAGTGCTCCCTCTCTGGCGCTACATACCAGATGCAATGGGTCTGCCACACCACATCTAGTATGTGTTACGATAACATACTTCGGACCAGACCCCCCTATCTTTTCCTATCTTGTACTGCCTTATGATGTTCCCATCATCTTCTTGTATAGCATCTCTGATCGCTGTCTTATCTTGTATCTCTTATCTTGTACCCTGTACCCTTACCGTTACCTTGGTAGTCTTGCCCTGAAGTTGTCTTTACCTATAAGTAGTCGATCAGCTTGTCTTGTATTCTCTAACTTGAATCTACTCAGTATTCTGATAGACCTTCCTTGATCAAGATCACTCTCATATATGATTTTACTCAAGACTCTTCGTCTTAGTGTCTATACTCGATCAATACCATTAGCCTCATCTTTACTTGACAACTCTTGTCACCAAGTATCGACACCAACAATAACGATAACGAACCTCTGCATCATCTTTGTCTCTGCTGAGACTTAGTACAGAGTTCTTACCTGAGTCTACGCTTTCAGCGTAACAGTATGTGGCGTCAGGGAGGGGGGATAGCCCTGAGAGGCAATGTGATGCCTTTAAGTGCCAGAGGACAATGTAATCGATGTTCTGAACAATGGTATGATATGTCGCAGCACAGGGATGCAAAAGATGAAATAAGGGATGCCAATCCAGATGCCCTGGAGAGCCTCACATGAATGTTCCACAGATGGTGAAAGGTCTTGCAACCACAGCAGGAGAAACACAGTATGGTGCTGTTGCTGTTGACACCATGGCCTTGCAGAAAACACTCTTGTAATTAGTGATATCAATGAGATCACAATGATGGAGTTCGGAATGCTGGTTGATGATTGCTACGGAAGACAATATACCATGCAAGGGGTAACCACCCATGTTGTCATTGATGGAATCACTGCCCACTGCAAAGAAAGTCGAGGTCCAAGAAGCAGTCACGAAAGCGACACCACGGTGCACAGTTCGCTGCCGCCGACGAGCTGGACGACTTGACCTGCAGAGAAAATGCAGTCCTTGCTGCCCACCGACCCCGCCCCACAACCACCCCCGCCCGGCCTGAGTTCTCCCCTCCAGATACCCCCTTCAAGCCCCCTCCACGACTCGGAAGGCTGTCACAGAACCCACCATGTGCTCCTCCCTCATGTTGTACCAGTCATGTCTAAATTTGCCGTATCTGTGCTCGTCATCAATCACCTTGTACCACCATTTGACACCATTGGTTGATCTCTTGAACACTGCTGCTCGTGCTACAGGCAAAAATAGAGGATTCTTCAGAAAATGAAGGCGAGCAAGATATAGGCGTTTGTTGACATTCTTGTGCTGTTATCTTGAAATTGGTCAGTAGGGGCAAGATTGAATGACATACAAACTTACAGTGATATGACCTGTCAAATGCATGTATAGGGCCCGTGAATGAGCATTTGAGGAATGGGTACTGATAGCCTTTGGAATCATTGGATGTGTCTTGCAACAACGAGTACCTTGGAATGGAAGTAGAGTCAGTCAAGATTTCATACGCACATGCAGTGCCTCTGCTCACTGAGGGTCTTTATTGTGGATTAATATGTGCCTGACCATATCTGTGGTCGGTTTGTTGCAGAAGAGGCAGCTCTGTGAGGCTTTAGCCACAGGGAAAGGAAGCAGGATGATATAGGATGGAGTACATCACATGTAATGCTTATTGTTTCATCAGTGGGAACACTGTGTGTTATTCGTCCATGGTAAAGGTATTGGTATCTGAAAGGTTATATCATTGTCACTGTTAGGCATAACCAAGGTCTCTAAACAATGACGCCACATTGGTGTAATGGTTGGTGTGATGAAATGGTGATGGACTACATCAAACTTCCGCATGTAGATACATTCTTGTCATTTGGTTCACCGATCATCATCCATTTTACATCACATTGCAAAGTCATACACGTTGTGCTTGCTGCTTCCGTCAGAACTGATGCGAGAATCCACAATCCATGTGCATAAGGATCCTCATCGTGAGGCTGAGAGGAGCGGATCAGATACTTAACTACTGCAGTCACACCCTTGCCACTGTCGGAAGTCTGCATTGTCACATATATACATACATGATTGAGCTTGGGTGAAAAACAAAACAAGTAAATGGAGTCACCAAAGATGTTGCAACACGTGTCGTACAGATGACTGATCCATTATGGCTTGATTGGAAAGTTCTACCAGGACACAATGTGCCTGACAGCAACGGTGTCAGTGTGATATCAATAAATATAAACTTGCTACACACCAATGGAGACAGCACAAAATCGAAGGCAGGACGATCAGTGCCTCACAGCAAACCATGCATCGTGGTGTGAATGCATAGAAGACTTGACCATTTCATATCCTTGCGGGTCCATGAGAAAGGTGTCCATCTACATGTTGACATTCGGCTAGACTCATACCAACACTGGATGATCAACTTACGAAAGGTGTTGCATTCATCACCTGCAACTCAGACTCAGCAACAAGGTCTTGGATGATGTATCTTGGTGTTCTAAACTTCGCATCACAGTTTTTGATTTCTCCTTTTGAGCATGCTGAGGGTGAGCAAACACCACAGGCCTCACACGCTTTGAGGTGGGCTGTTCCCTATTCCTCGTTGATTGCATCGTTGAGGGTTGTCTGCTAGAATTTTGCGTGCACAGTCTCAATTGGAGTGGGGGGGAGGGGGATCTGGCCACCTCCTCCTGTACCACATCAGCATATGTGCTCTCATAGCATTCATTGGGGTGATTGACACTAGATATATGCTTGGATTGCTGAGCAGCAGCAGTGGGGGCATTAGGAGCACGATCGGTTGGGATGAAGCACTAAGGTGGACCATGATCTTCCTATACAGGCCAAATTTCTTGTTCAGCGCATGGAGAGAAATACAATAGTGACAGCGATGTTACAGGACTTGCGAGTCCGACTTGACACCTTGAATGAACACAATCCATCCATACATCTTGAATTGTTCCTTTGACTTTCATTAGTTGACTGATGTCCTCTGGACTCCATTGACAAATGTGACACAACAGATTCATGGGAAGGAATGTGCCTGCTTGCAGGCCCATCAGTTCCTTCTAAGTATATCTAATATCTCGGGTGCCCCAAGCTTGTAACTCAGCTCCTCATGGCCATGTATCAAAATTTAAACACCATGATCTGGTGCTGTGTAAATCAAATCCAATTCTTTATGAAATTATTAGTATGGGCTGTTTGGCCATTGTATACTGGGGTCTGCCTACAAAATGGGTGTCCTTGGTGTTGATGGAGAGTTTGATCTGTACTTTATACATCACTTGATCAAATTGGTAGATCAGTGCTGAGTATTGCCACCCTACCCTCATCATGTTGTGCAGTTCTATCTTTTTCATGGACTCTGTAGGTAACCTATAAATTGACTACCTATATTTCTCTGTCCATTTACTTACTTTCCTAACCTCCCTTGGATTATATCTAGGTTGAGTTATCCATTGCCTGTGTGTTCTGGCTTGTCTCTTTATATTTATTTACTGTACATCACCCATTGATACCTCATTGTGCAACATTGGAAGTTTGATGTTTTCGGTGAGCACTAGAAAGTATCCAGTACAATGTTTTGAGGAAGATTCCAAAAGTTGCCCACCAATTTCCAAATCCTGGAGCACTAGCGGGATTGACACACTCCAAAGAACTAGGCCAGAGACTGTGGATAAACTCAAGTCTGTGCTCAGCATACTCGATAGTATTGAGAAGGTGAAGATTGTCAGAATGACCACAGCAGATAGATCATCAGATAGATATGCAAGTATGTGAGGGCTCTATGTCAGTTTGTACATACCACCATAATCTTGTAAAGGCTGTGTTCAGGCTTAATCCTCTTAAGATGGACCTGCTGCCTACTGCCAATTTCTGCAGTTGAGGTCATAGGCTGATGAATCAACCCAGGTGGTCTGGAGGATTGACTCTGATCTGTTGATTGACTGATTAGTATGATATTACCTGGAAGTCAATTGTGTCAAATGGATGGTAGTCGGAGGCTCATGAGTCCTAGCCAGACCAACCTACATTATTGGAGATGAGAATATGATATAATTAAAGGCAAACTCGGATATATGTGATTATAAACACCATGCAGCATGTTATTGCTGCCTGTCTTGTCTTTCACCCATGGCAAAAATAAGAATTATGCATTGGTTTCATGCAGCTGTGCAACAAATTAGCAGGAAGGTGACCATGATAATTGAACTTATAATTTAAATGAACATGGGAACTTTGCTGCTTGGTTACATCTCACATGGCAAGGTATGGACCATTGAGGCTAGTAGATAGGCAAACAAAGACAAATGTGCCTTCAGCTAAAAGCAGGCAAGTTATAAAACACTGGTAAAACAAAATCTCTTAAATTGTCAAGACTGGCACGGGAACACTACAACAAAGCATGATAAGTGTCACAAAATAAATTGTAGAAATCCTTATGTAGAGGGGATAGATGATGAGCTGACTCACAGGGCCCAGCAACAAGGTATCCTATTTATTCAACATCAAGCATGAGAATACCCTGATGATCCAATGTGAGTATAGTTGACTGCTGTTACAAGAGAAGAACATGACTTACAGTGAATGAGAAGAACCCAGGGAGAATGACATCAAACAAATCAGTAATACAATACATATTTAAAGGTTATTGCAAAACCCTATGTATGCACAGACCCAGTGGAATTTCTATATTATAATTCCTTGTTTTACAAAATATTAACTGGCCACCATAGTGCCATTGAAGTCTCGCATTAGAGCAATGATGGTGCAATACATACACATACCTAGATCGAGCTGACACAAGGTTTCTGAGCACACAGGGGATGCATTATATTACATGTAGATATACCTGCTACATTTTTGACACAAGGCTAAAATGAGGATTATGTGGCACTGTTTGTATATGGATCAAAGACTACTCCAAGCATGCTCATCCTTTGGTCAACCTCTATCGCAAAAATAATCCCTTTGAATGGACAGAAGAGACTCAAGAATCATTCAACTACCTCAAGCATGCAGTATCCTCCGCACCTACTCTGTGTCTCATTGACTACACTTCCCCCAATCTTCATTGTGAGTTTACCCCTATACCCAGATCTGCCTGACAGTTAGTTTCTGTTCTCCATTCTCTGTGATCTGCCTGACAGATGATTCATGCCTGTTACCTATCCCCTCCATCCATTTCTGATATAGCATCCAACTCTGCTACATATGTTCCTATTATACTATCTAACCATATATTAGATCTCATAGTTCTCACTGCTAAGTTGATTAGTCTCTATATGTCATATCTAATATATGCATCTTCATGCATGAGGCAGTTAGGTGTTATTACATACTATTGCATGACAGACTTGCCTATATTTATCACTACCACTTACAATATCCTAGTTGTGTGTAGAATGCAATAGATATTTGTGCTGGACTCTGGCAATCACATTTATTCTACTTCCTTGGAACAACTTTAGCAGATGTCATATTACAAGTCAAAAATAACTCAGTTGAAGAGCACTAACTTGATGCTTCTACAGAATTATTTCTCCAAGGCAAAGGCTTTTAACCTGCATCAGTATAGAGGTGGGTTGCTTTACAATTGTGTGATACAGCAGGGCTGACTACAGTTGTATAGGAATAGATTTCTAATGCATTACTTCAATGTTTCTACAATAACCTCCTGGACATTGGTGTAGATTCATATCCTTATGATACTAATTCCAATAAGGCAGATGTCAGTTTTATACATGGTATGCAGATGGGACTTCAAAGATATCTGTGATTGGGGAGGATTGACCAGATACTTTAACAGTTCTTGAATTGTGGTTTCTGGGGTGTCTTGGGTTGCCGTTGAGCGCTCCTAGGGGCAGGGGTGGGGGTGGGATCTGTGTCCATGTCCATGGCTGCATGCTATTGACCGTGTCTTGCAAACCACTGCTCCATGTTAGCAAGCTCGCTCTCTTTTTCTGGCTTCAGTTTTTCAATTTATAGTTGCAGCCTTTGCTCCATCTCAGCAACAATGGCTTTCTCGTGCTCTTTAAAATGCTTGACATCATTAGCAATTCACTTGGTCAGTTGTTCTTCCCACCTCTTGGTTTCTTTTACTAAATTCTGCTTCGTGTTGCACCTGTTCTTCAGCATGACAGTGTAGTTCCTCAGTGCGTTCTTCTAACTGCTCAATGTCATCAGCAATTCCCCTGGTCAGTCGTTCTTTCTCCTCACTTCTTGGTCTTCTCTGCTTCGTGTTGTGCCAATTCTTCAGCTAGCTGTGCTCAACATCATCAGCAATTCTCTTGGTCGGTCATTCTTTCGCACCTCTTGGTCTTTTTGCTTCTTACTTCATCTGTACAGTCCCTTTGTCTTAACCCCTATCTGCCCGGATCCGCTTGACATATATCCAGCTACATTCTAGATCATAACACCTATGCCCAGATCCACTCAACACTTCATCTCTGTGTCCATTTTTGATCGTTCCTGTAGTATTTTCCTTGCGCCTGTCAGTTTAACCTTTCCGTATGTTCCTCTCTTTGACCTGGATCTCCGCTGACTGTGTCCCCATCGCACATGTCCATAGTACATAATATCTTGTACACTTGTAGAAGTTTACTCAGTTTGAATATCATCTTAGACTCTGCCCATTCCCATTCTCCCCAATACACTCTGTCGTTACATGATCCCATTACAAGGGCTGCCATCAAGACATATATCAACCTTACACACCCAGATCATGACTACAAGTCACAGAGCAAAACTATCATAGAGCTCACAGGCGAGGACTTTCCCTTTCTTTACCTTATTAAAAAACTTGTTGCTGAACTGAGCGGAGTCGAGTCCTTGATGCACAATATATATATTGACTCTTGTTATGCATTTGTAGATAGATCCCTTCACAAACTGCGACAACTGCTTGGGGTGTGGCAAGCCACACTACAAAGATGAACCCAGGAAAGAACCTCAGCATCAATTTCCGACAATCCCCATCAGACCACAGATTCAAGCTCTGTTTGGTGATCAAAAAAAGTGCTGAGGAAATGCGGTATTGTGATTTCTACAGCCAGAAAATATTTACAGAGCTTGCAGAACCTAACACCACACCTCCTTGGCTCCTTTGACTGTCCCCCTTGAAATCCTGCAGAAAAATTAACAGTCACTATAAAGCCTACAAGTTCACATTGTACTTATGGAGTCTATGTCCTGCACTTTTACACAACATCCTTCCTGACCCTTATTGGCGCAATTTCTGCAAGCTCGTACATGCTATTTGACTTTATCTCAGCACTAAATTAGTCAAGTTGAACTTTGCATGGCTCAGCGCTGCATTGTTGAGTTTACAAAGGAGTTTGAAGTGCTATACTATCAGTGTCATCCTGACCGAATTCACATGGTCCGTCAAAGTATCCATGCTATTGGCCACTATTCCTGAGAGGTTGAGATGAAAGGTCCTCTAATTTGTGCATCACAATGGACAATGGAACATGCTCTAGGATACCTTGTATCTCAGATCCACCAACCTTTGAATCCCTATGCAAATCTTGCTGAGCGAGTCTTCTGTCAAGCATTTCACAATGTCCTACTCATAATATTCCCTTGCCTGGACTGTGCATCAAGCAACCCGACGAGTGATGTCGAGAGTGCTTTGGTGGATGAAAGAGGCAAATGTCTGGGAATGCATTCTCAATTGCATGCCAGCCACAACACTCTGATTTTGCCTCCTAAAGAAAGGTCTTCCACAACAATAATTTGATCTTCTTAGCCTTAATGCCTGGGTCGCATGACTTCACATTTGTGGCTTGGCTTTTTTGCTTTGTTTTCCTGAAGGTGGAGTGCTGGAATCTACCGCTGGCTGTGAGGCACTATATGGTGGAGGAGCCTTCAACATAGTATCATACTAGTTAGTAACATTGCTTATGAGTACAATTAAAGTTACCTTTGAGCGACTCCTGCGACCCTTGCTAGGTGGTACTGGAGCGAGAGGGTTCACAGGAGTATTTGAATCAAGGGTGGTTGAGCCCTTTGACCACTCCTACCTTGCCTACCACCACTGCACCCAACTTGTAATATGCTGGGATCACAGTTTCCCCTACTAAACCCACTGCACCATTCTTGCATAATGCTGGGATCACTGCTTATCCCACTGTGCCTATTCATATTACTGGGACCACTGTTACTCCCAATTTGCCTATCATTTCTAATGGTTACTTTACACTAGAACTATGGACGACACTACCACACATGCTATAGCAGAGACCCATTTCACTATGGGTAACTATGTCATTTTATCTATGCCTACTCACGCTGACGACATCTCTAACTTGTCAGCACTTCAAGATCTCATTCCTCATGTCAAGAGTCTTCCCACTACCATGTAGTGTTTTAAAGTCCAGTTGCAGGACCACAAAAAGACCAGCAACCGGACCGGGTCCTAAGAAGGACTGGTTGCAGTCTTTTCCAGTTGCAAGATCAGTCCAGTCCAGTTGCCTGAAGTTTGTGAAAAATAAATAAACCAGTCTAAACCGGTTAAAATCGGTTTAGACCGCAACCGGTTCATATGTACATGTAGTACCCATCAGCGCGGTTCTAACGGTGGTCCGATCATGTAAAACGGCTAAGATTTGACAAAGTTATGAGCATTACAAGAAAAAGCTGCAAATTCACGGGATGTCTTGTATCTTAGCTTTTATCTAGACCAAACCATAATCAATTGACAAGGTAAGACCAGCTATAGACTCGTCTATACTAAGGTTACAAGTAATGTTGACACACCTAAGCCATATAGTAACAACTTTGATTTTGTGACATTTCATATACGGCAAGTCAAAATCAGTCACAATCACCGATTGGCTCATAACTTACCCAAACCTTGAGTGTCCGACAAGATATGAGTAGCTATAGACTTGCCTAGACTAAGACTACAATTAACATTAAGACACCTAAGCCTTACAACCACTTTTATTTTTCAAAGACAAGCCCGATAACGATTTTTTGTCAAGCTTATATCTTGCTTATATCTTACCCTATTGACAAGATGAGACTAGCTATAGTATCGCCTTGACTAGCAGCACATATTTCATCAAGAAGCCTAAGCATGGTAATGACATTTCATATTTGACTCACATGCAGGGCGGAGTTTGGGAACCCTTTTTTATAATGCTCATATCTTGCTCAGATCTTAACCGTTTAATACAAATAAACCACCGTTAGAATTGTGGGAAGGAGTGCTACACTTTCACAGGACTGGTCTCAGTTGCAACCAGTCTAAGACCGGTTGTAGGACTGCAAAAGACCAAAAACATCGGTCTTTACAGGTCCAGTCCAGTCTTGATGATATCGTGGGAATGAAAAGACTGGTCTGGTCCGGTTGCCTCCAAAAAAGGCAAAAAGACCGGACTGGACCGGACTTTAAAACACTACTACCATGCACCATGGTAGGGAGGACTTATTATCTAACAACAGCGCCATATCTCGCACTGACAATCATCTCACACTGCTTGCAGACATTGCGTCCAATGACAATGCCAACATGTCTTGCGCACCTACCCTTGACCCCAACCTCGAGAACTTGGACTTGCTCATTTCTCGACGTAAAATTGAACCCAACATAAATGTTTCCAAGAGTGAGCGTGTGCATCTACTAACTCTTGATGATGCACTCACCACCATAAACAAATGTACAGGCCACGCTAACGATAATGAGCTGGATGTGACCACCAGCAATTAATCCATGAATGAGAAGCTCAATGTCATCTTCGTTCACTCCACCACAGTCAAGAACCCACCCATGTGCTCCAGCACAAGTGCATCCTTTCCATTTCCTTGCATGCCTCCCAACTCAAATCTAGTCTATCTGCTACACATGATCTAAATAAAACTCATTTACTGTCCTATTTCTTCGAGTCATCTACTCTGACAGAGTCTGATGAGAAAGGCTCAAGAGCCGTTGAGATCAACTACGACATGACGATGATCAGCGATACTGACTGATCCAACTGAAGTGCCCACCAGCGGTACCATTCCTTATCACGGCCTTTCTCACGCAGATGGGAAAACCATGATTTCATTTGATGGACTAACTAAGTCTGAAGCCGAGGGATATCTACTAACTGAGCCATCTAAGTATAATGATTACCACTCTGTTTATATGCCTAACGTGGTTCATGCCATTGAATCTTACTGCTTCTGTCAAGACAAACTTATCGCAAATGACTGAAATGTACACCTCTTCCACGACAGTACTTATCCAGGACACCACATTATATCTGGGGGAGCCAAACTCCCCACCGTTGGCCCTCATTCAGGATGTATGTGGCAAGAACGTGTCCACAAACTCACTTACCACCATGCACCAGAACTATTAAGTGTGACAACTCCTTACATACTCAGGGGGGTCTCACCCATTCTACTTATGCTGGGCCCTACGACGACGTCAACCCATTCTTTTCAATAAGTGAGGCTAAATGTCTCAATTCATATGCAGCTATTGCCAAGGCCCATGGAGAACCAGAGCTGGCCTCGAAACTCCTTGACACCTTACTCATGCCATTCCCCGACGAAGACACCATCAGTGCACTTACCGAGTCATGTCTTCTTGATGTCAGGACTGTTCGTGACATTCTCCAATTCGCATTTGATTGAGACCTCATTCTCAGAATCGCATGCACTGGACTTGTCATTGTAGCTACTTCCCCCTTTCAGTTCGAGATGTTCAAAGGGTACGTTCTCTCAGATATTGATGAAGAGGAGGAGGAGCATCCAAAGCCAAAGAAGTTTTTTCTCTAGCATTCTAGAAGTGAACCTTTTCATTCTTATACCATTTTCATTACCCATTTCAAACTCTAGTGATTATCCAGCCTCATTTTTTGCCTTATCAATTTTTCTGGCCTCAAGCACATATCTTTTCCCATCGTGTTTATTTCCTTACTGACTCTTATTTGTTCACATCTAAACCACTTAACAACAAAAACATAGACCCTCGTTTCCATTGTTTTGAAGCTATGTATTTATATTGCCATCATTTTCTCATTGTCCCTTTTCATGCTCTGCCTCACAAGTTTGTCTTTGTTTGTTCTTATACAAAACCCACAATGCAGGCTTCTGTGTTCACTTTGTAAGCTACAAAGTATAAGTGAAAAAAGCCAAGAAGTGATAGCTTTAGATACAAGTTACTTGTTCCGTAATTTGATTCTTTTGCGGCCCGAAAACTCGTCTGAATTTTCTAAGTCCACTCAACACAAAAACCTTAGTCTGAGTGTCTCTGATGTTCCTGAGATAGTCTCAATATCGGATTGTCTAGTCTATCCCCAAGATATGTTGGAGGATGAGACCATTACAGAATGTTATAAGAAACTTAAGGATTCACAACATTCTTGTTATCAAGAAATTAACGAAGTCACAAAATCAGAAACCAAAGATGACTCAGACAGCGAGTCTGATCTTATCATCACAATACCTGAGGAAAACCCTGTGCTTACTATGTATAAAAGAGTTGACAAGAAAGTGAAGCCCATGTCTGGTACCTTTCCTCAGGAAGCTCGTGTGGATTGCCATTTTCTGCATGACCCTCTACAAAATTTAGTTTATTTGACTCTATATCCTCCCAATTTTGTTCCTAGTGACCACTTAACCCAAGAAAGACTACGAAGTCTAAAAATCAAATTTTTCAACATATTATGCTCCTAAACCAAGAAACATTAGCCTTTGAGGAAACCGACAGGCCAACTCTGAAGGAAATCATAAACCAATCTCATCTGCTTATCGCTCATGATGGTTCTGTGTACTTGAGAAAAATGTGAATGCCCCTACACAACTTCTTTAATTTAACCACTATGGTGCATCACAAATGCTCAACAAGTCTTTCTGAATCTGAAAACTCTCTTCAAGTGATTCAGAGAATTTACAACATTCTCCAAGTCTGACAATCAAGCACTCAAAAAAACACAGTTGATCAAGTAAATCTGTGCCAAAACAAAGGAAGTTATATTTTGTAATCCCCCAACTTTTACATTACTTCTAATGTTACAGAAAAGCAAAGATACCCAAGGACACTGAGGAGGATCTAAATAAGGAGTATTTCACTGCTGCATGTGCTATGATGTGCTGCTATAACTTTGAAGACAAGTCTGACAAGGTGACTCGCAAAAAGAGACTTGAGGGCCTGTAAGTTTGGTTTTTTTTAGGCCATATGTCACTGATTTATTGGTTTAGTTCAATTAATGTACATGTTTGGTGTAGACGAAACTATCAGTAACTCCTTCAGCTAGCCATTGGTTTGTGAGCACTTATCAATAACAAGAGCAAGTCAAAGCAACTTGCAAGAATCATACAAAAAGTGAGTTTACACTGCATATAACTGGCCAGATGAATCTAAGCCGAGTTATTAATTTGTGCGTTTAATCTGTATGAGATATAAGTGGCTTAGCTAGTGTTAGGGTTAGAAAAATATACCTTCAAGAGTTCTGGCCTCATGAGGGCACCCAAAGCAAAAATCAGACTATAATAAAATAAAGAATTAGTCCACTGACTGCTGCAGGTCATTGAGCCAACATAAAGACCTCTAGCCGCAGAAAAGCTCTCACCCACAGCAGTCAGAATAAAACAGTGAGTTTTTCCAGGGCACCTTACAAATAGTAGAACAGGTACACAATTCTTATTTTCCTAATTATAATACTGAGTTATTCTAGAAGGAAATTGTTCAAGAATGAAAGTGGGCTGAAAGATGGTGTTGAGGTATAGGATCACACTTCTACTAATAATTCTAGTGGGAGCTACTCTGTGTTAATAGATAGCTTGGCCAAGATGTGAGCATAGACATCTGCTTGTGCTAGTGTAGCTAAGGGTTTAGGTTAAAATCATGTTCATAATTCTCCAAGCTCTCCTACTCCTCGTACTGGTTTCCTTAGGATCATTCTCATTCTCCCTTCTCTGTCATTCTTGTTATCCTCATGCTTATTCTCCTGCACCTTATAGACATCCTCCTGAAGAGCATGGAATACTTCTTGTGAAAGCTCTCCTGCTTTTTGTGGATATTCTTGATTCCTATGTTCAGTAAGAGCTGCAGGACCATCAAGTCAGCTGATTGTATTCCAAACACAACAGTGTTAGATACCTGATATGTCTGTAAATTGTAGACTCTGATTCAATGGGGTGTTTGAGCATATGTTACTACTGCTTGTTAGGCGGTGGGTATTGGTAGCCCCCTTATTTGCCCCCTATGAAGTACTCCATTGATTTCAGAAATGAGCTTGTTCAGCTCATAAGTAACTCCATCTTCAACCTCTTTGGAATACTCTAGATTTATCTCCCAATGAGTCCAGGTGATGATGACAGAGTCTGTGTCTCATCTTTTGCCTGGCCCACCTTGTATTTTATGTCAATGGTGGCCACCAATTCTGGTATGCCCTTAGACAAGCATATGAATCTGCCAGTGTCTAAGAGCAATTTTTTTTACCTTTTCCCCATAATATGCTACCTCAAAGGCAATTATAGGAATTGCATTCAAAGTTGAAAAATATGAATGTTGCAGACAGAAATACATTAAAAAGACATTTACGACAATACAGCTGAAGTCCATCGGGGTATTTGAGATACTCATATGCATGTTCGAGAAATTGGTGGTCTGATGGTCATCATAACCATATCCTGAGCCCAGTGGCTGAGTGTCATGAACTTGAAGAAGAGAAGTACCACTTGAGGAATTGGAGGTAAATATGTTCAGGAGACCAACTATGGATTGACCAGAATGATATGCTTTTGTAAACCAGTAATAAACACATTGTACTCTGTTCCTACATATAAAGCTGATATTGTCTTCTCAGAGTAACAAGGCTAATTGTGGTTCAGTTACAAATGTCCTATAGAGTTACCTTTTGGCTAGCAGTTGTGTTTAGCTGATCTGGCTGATAGCACGAAATCTTATAATCATAATATGCTTCTCAGTTTTGTAGACACCCTCATCTATAATGTTAAACATATGAATCAGTCTGAGATCTAGCCAAAAGTGAGTTGACATCTCTTATGTGTGTCTCATCATAATATATGTATAGTAAGAAACCCGAGATAAATCTTAATGATAGTGTGGTTTACTTTATAATTTGCAATATCTAGCTTAACACAATTTTGATGAAGCTTCACAAATTCAGACGCTACAAGAATCCCACAATTAGTGTAAAATTGTCAACAAGCAAATACTATCAAAGACTTACTTGGGAAGCATCAGCAAGTCTCCTGACATTTTCCAGGGCAACTGATATGGTTGTAAAAGCAGCTGAGATACTGGTGAAAGCCTCATAAGCTAGCTCCTCATGAGTGTACACCTACTTCCTAACTTCCTCTTCCAATTCCATTTGCCTCTATCTCTCTAGCTGCAATTTATCTTTTACTTCCTCCAAAAGAGTTTTATTGGCAAGATATTCTTCTAGCTTGCCTAGAATGGCATGACTAGCTGGTGTGTAGATGGCTCTATTGTTTAAAAAGTTCTGAAATTTCTGTGGTGTCAATGACAGGTGTAGATTTATCATCTTCTAATGATAGTTCATGCTGAGTACTGAAAATTCATAAAAGTCAATAAATATATGTATTGTTTGAATGTCATCTTTAGCTTCCTTACTTGGCTAAATTTGTTTGTATGGTTCAACTGGAACTCCTTATTACTTCAATGACTTCTAGATTTATGAAATTTTATTTAAAATAACAATGTATAAGATAATTTTCAATCAAATTCAC